GAAATCCGGGACAATGAGCGCCAAAACTCTCCTCCCCCTTCTCCTCTCCCTTCAAACCAACCCTCTATTTCCACCTTTTATTCCTTTTCACCCTTTTCTTCGCGCGCTGACTAAAGCATCCGAGCCATTCATTATTTCCTTGGTTACCTCTTCAACCGGAGAAAACTTCTTGGCAACGCAATTACGTCTTGTACGTCTCTCCCTCCATCTTGTCTCGCCTCTCGCGCGATTTTTCCATTCCTTTCTTTCTCGCGGGGGAGGGGTAGGGAGAGGAGGAGGAGGATTCTTTCAACCCCCGCGGCTTGATTATGCGCCGTGAAATTGTATCAACGCGCTCGAAATTAACGCGAAACTTCTCGTTTGCACCCTTTGTGACCACCACCCTCGGATTTAAAAGGCGAATTTTGCACGCCACGAACTCGAGAGAATACAATTTGAAGAAGCTTTTGCGGAGAGGTTGGTATTCTTTGTTTTATTGTTCGTGCAAAGTGATTTTCAATAGGGACAGAGATAACGATTGGGGATAAATGAAAGATTGGTGGTGGTGGTTTGCGACGCTTGAAGAAAGTTTATGCAAATTATTCCGTTGGAATTGTTGAGCGAAATTCATTATTGAATGAAGAAGAAACGAGACGAGTTATGGAATTATGTATATCTCTTGGTAATGAATTTGATGTTGAAGAAACGTGAAGAAATGAAGAATGTGAGAGGAAAATTTTGATAAGTTGATTTTTGTTGTTTTTTTTTTTATTTGTTTTTTTGTTTGCTGTTTTATTGTATAATAATGCAAGTGCTTTGATGTTTCAATGTGTTAAGAGAATATAATAGAGAAAACGAAATTGTAAATTTCTTTAAGTAAATTTATGGGGAGGGGAAAAATTGGTAACGTGGATTTTTCTAGTTTTATATATTTTTTATATATTTTAAAGTTAAAAAAAAAATTGATAGAATGATTCAAAGTTCGATTTTAAAATTAATTTTTATGTAAAAATTAAAACTCATAATGTTTAAATCAAAATCTACGAATAATATCGTTATATTTCAGTTTTATATAATTGTTTTTTTTTTATTCTTTTTTATTAGATTATTATGAAGGATATTAATCGTGTTTATCTTTAAATAATGGATTATGAGAATTAATTAAATTGCTATGAGATTAAATATTGATTTACTTTAAAAATATCTGATTCGATACAAGGCTACGAATAGTTTTGATTACCATTGCAATTTGCAAACAGCTAGCTAAAATCTACATTTGCATAACTAAAAATAAATTTTAGAACGATAAGAGGAACAAGTTTTTTTTTTGCATAATTCATTTTAAGCAAAAAAATAAAATAACATAATACTTTAAACATTTTAATTTTATAATATATCTATATACATAGATCTTAGAAAATCTAATTTTTCATTGATGAGACGAGTAACAATATTTGAAAAAAAATTACCGTCTCTTTAATTTTTACGTGCAATTGCATACAATATTTTACATATAATAAACATAAAAAGAAATTCTCTTCAATCTTTTTTTAAAAAACAAAGTGAATACAAAAGAACTCGCCCATTTTATCCCTAATAATTTTTTCCGAGATATCTTGTTAACTTTTCATAATGCTTCAAAATCTTTTTCACGACATTAACTCACCAGCATCCACACTTCTACTCAGTTTCACTGTCCAACAGATTTTCGATTTCACAAATATTCGCAATAATAAAAATATCCAACTCTCACCAAATATCACCATACATAACTACCCCTCAGACAAGGTGTTAAAGAGGAATAATTATTTCCCTCTTCCCTCAAAAAAAAAAAAAAAAAAAAAAAAGGAAATCCCAACCTTTTTTTTCCCCGGCCCCCCCCCCCCCCCTCACACGTTATAATTAGCGGCCCTAATGACTAGCGTTGAGAAGGGCGGCGGGTTATTAAAACAACTCCCGCTTCCTCCTTCTTTCCGCGCGTTCGTCAACTCCCCTCTCTCTTTCGCGAGAGAGAGAGGGAAACTTGCCAAGGATTTTAGGGGCCGCGCGATATTTCAATTAGCATCGTTTAAGCGGCGGTGATTGCGGGTGCTGGCGGCCCGCGATGCTCGTGTTTCCGCCGCTGCTTGGCATCCAGGGGGAGGGAGCGTGAAATGGAGGAGATGAGAGGGAGGAGGAGGGTGTTTACCGAGACGGGTTTATACGGTCTCGTGTCCAAAGTCGGTGGACAACCAGGCAGCTTCGCCTTCCTGTTGCGCGACCTCTTCCGTTCCGACGCACACACGTCTTGCGAGAAAACACAGCTCGAGGGGGGAAAGGAGAGGATCGAGAGATAATTATTTTCCTTTGACCGGGTAATTTGGACCGGCGGAGGGACAAGTATAATAAGTATTTCGTATAATTTTATATATTTTCAATTTTGAATTTTATATATTTTTTTATTTTATTATATATAATTTTATATATATTCAATTATATATATTTCATCTTGGTTTTATTATTTAGGGGAGTTGAGATTTTGGGAATCGAGGATTCGTCAGGATTGTAGAGTTTGTGAAGAATTCTTGTGAAATATATAAGTAGTGATTTGATATTAATATTCGTTGTCGTTTATTCGTTCGATGTATGTGTAAGAAATCCATATATCGTAATCGTAACTTTGTGACGATTTTAATGAAAAGATAATTGTTCAGGAAATGTGAAGTTGAAATGCAGGGATAGAATATATCGAATAAAAAATTCTTTGTCGTTGTTGTTGTTATCGATTGGTGTTTTACTTGAGATATGATATAAGATATTATAACGATTTATTAGAATTTCTTTGGAATGCGCGCACAGTATTGTACGATATTATTAATTCGAATCTTTGACGTTTCAAAAGGTGGATTATAAAGAATATTCTTTTATCAATTTTATACGATACGATCTTTATACGATAATGATACAAATTCTTTTGATTCTTATTGTTTCTCGCATGATTCTTTATTACTTTATGGATGCAATTATTGCACACATTATTTTATTATTATATTATATCAAGAGATAACATCGATCGGTCAGAATTCTCGACTAAAAAACTCTCTAAAATTCCACGATTCCGTGCAACGATCGTAAACTAGTTTCAAATTTCCCGCCTCTCAATTAACATCTTCGCGATCGGTAAAATCGATTTACGCGTCGTCGAAATTAACCCATGCGTCTCTTTACAAATGTTAGCGGGAAGAGGTGGCGCGATTAAATACACACACTAATCGAATTATTATTCCCAATTATGCGGCTGCTTCGTTAAAGTTGAAACCAATTAAAATTCGAGTCTGATGAAATGCAATCTCCTTCGAACGCAAAATTTAAATTTAGCGTTCAACGATGAAGAAACAACACAAACCTCGACTTAGAAACTTTACGTAAAGCTCGCAAAAAACGTATCCTATTATATTATATATTATATATATATATATATATAGCTATTATATATATAGCTTAATTTTCAAGGAAAATTATACATTCATTTATATCTTAATAAACGTTCTTCTGAAAAATTTCTGATAAATCTCTTGTAAAACATCCATATCTCCAAATCCCAATATTACTTTATTACAAATGAGTCACCCAGTATAACTTCCTTCGTTGTCACCCTATACCTAATTGATCCTATTACAACACACGTCTAAACGTTGAGTTCACAATCAAGTATCAAGAAGGGCTCGCCAGTTTTGCCCGGAACACTTGACGGTTTTCCGGTGTACCGCCGCGACACATGACTTTTCCAGCTCGTCTACCGACCTTAATTTCCGGCCAAAGTGATGGCAGATACAGGTAATGCCCGTCGGCATCGGTCGAGACGAAAATTGAGCCAGGAAGAGAGGGAGAGAGAGAGAGAGAGGAAGCTACCGCCGATTCAGCGTGGATTTAATTTAATCCCCATCAGTCTGTTCTGGCCTCAGGGTGTCGTAAACACCCTCGACCAGATATGGCACACCTGCACCTGTTTCGTTCTTCCCTCGTAAGGGGTGGCGTTAAGCCAACCTCACTTAACGTTCCACAGCGGTCACGACGCCTCTCTTTATCGTAATCATGTAATTTCACGAAATCGTTCTTCCATCAACTTTTTGCGTTTATTAATGATGCGAAAAAATATATATATATATATTTATTTCAAACGTGACGGGAATATCGGGTGGGTATTCGGGTATTTTATGAATATCAGGATATCCATTTATATCCGTTTTATTTGTCGTAAATTATTCATTTGTATTGGAATATTCAGTATTATCGTTGTAATATTATCATTCATTATTATTATTTGTATTATTCAATAATATTTACTGCATTATTCATTTATCGTAATTTTGTATCGTGTGCCGTTTAAATTTCGAGAGGGTATCTCGTAATTATGAAACATTTATTAAACGGCACGATGAATGTAAATCCCTTTCCCAAAACCGTACCTATCCAAAATTATCTATAAAGAAACGAGGAATTGATAATTGATGTTAAAAAAAGAAGAAAAAGAATCGCATCGCGAATGTTTGTATACGCGCGAGCGATTCCAACGAAATAGGAAATTCCGGGATCTATATTTAATTCCCCATCCCCCCCTCGAATATATTCCCTCTGAATACACGCTGTCACGCGAACGAGAGATAATAACAGTCAATTACCTATACGCGTGTCGCTGGATTGACGCGTGAACCGCGATATAAATCACGCGCGCACAGGCCGACGATTCGAGCTAAACGATCAATCGAGAAAGCCTCTGGACTCAATAAAACTCGAATTAAGTAATGCACGCTGCCACGATCACGAGCCGAGGGGGGTGTCACGGGTTGATGATTGATACCCGGGTAGAAAAGAAAAGGAGGGAAAGAGAGAGAGAGGGAGAGGGAGAGTGTGCGAGGGGAAAGGACAATCGTTATCCTCCCGTGGTTCAATTAAGAGGCAGGAGCACGGTCCGCCGATCTTTCCCTCCCGTTGAAAACGGTTTACCCTTTAATAAGGATCGTTCTCCTTTCTGCTTTCAGACAGAGATAGCGAAGAGGTTAAACGCCATAATTGCTCAGATCCTGCCATTTCTCTCGCAGGAACACCAACAACAAGTCGCTACTGCTGTTGACAGAGCCAAACAAGTGACCATGACCGAGCTCAACGCCATTATCGGGGTGAGTGCACGCCAATGGAAGATAAATTACCCGCTGTGATGAACGCGAGTGTGCGCGCGTGCGCCTGTGTGTGTGTGTGTGTGTGTGTGTGGATGGCGAGTGTACGCGGTTCATGTGTCGGGAGTTTAATCGGACACGCGAAAATTTCAGGAGGGGGAGGGGCAGACATGGGAATTTCGAATGAAACCGATGAAGGGGGGCTGTTCATTGCTGGGGGCAATAACGAGATCTGTTTATTAATATTGTAGGCGTTTGATGATTTTGTGAAAAACTTGCGAATTTTTGTTTAATTTTTATTTTAAAATGGACGTAGTAAGCGTAAGTAAAGTATAGTTTTGTACATCGTTTCTATCGTAATTAATTTAATATCAACGAATATTACTTTCGTTCAAAGTTATGAAATCGATGAAAATAAAGATTGTAGGTTTGGAAATTGTGAGGATTAACGAATAGCTTGTAAAAAAATTTTATACTTTTGAAGCGCACTATCGTAACTTAATATCAACGAATATTACTTTCGTTCAAAATTACGTGCGTCAATCGATGAAAGTAAAGATTGTAGGTTTGGAAATTGTGAGGATTAACGTATAGCTTGTAAAAAAATTTTATACTTCTGAAGCGCACGATATCTCTGTCTCATTTTTTTGTGGCCATTTTCTTGGCCATTCGTATCGATATTCTTCAAAAACGGTATGCACACGTAAGGTGTAAATAATTAAATAGAAGATTAAATACTCGATTAATTGCATTACGATAATTGTACGTAACGATCGATGTTGAAAGAGGCGCATATGAAAATACAAAGCACCGAGCTGATCATTTTCATGTTTCCCATTCGATACCGATTAAACTTACAAACAGTCGCGCTCGCGTACACAACTCGTGTAACTCGCCCGTTTGTATTTACCGGCTGGAAACTATCCACCGATTACATTACTATATCGAGCAGTTGATACCCGCAAATTAAATATTAAACGTAGCCGATGACACGAAAAACAAACATCATCGAACAATCGAAATTTCTCGCGGCCGATCGAGATTCAAACGATCCCGTCGCTTTTCTAATGCGAAAATCAATTTCCACTGCTGCCATCGGGCCGGCAATCGATACGCCATCACCATTTGGATTTGTGGATACACGCGCATAGAGTGTTGTTTATTTTTTTTTCCGTGCCTTTTATTTGGTTTTTTTTGACGCTACATATATAGGCTTCGTTACTTTCATCATGGAGGGATAAAAATTTCTGAATTAAAAAAACCATCGAAATCCGTCACCAACGAGACAATTATCGTGTCGTATCGTGCCAAAGGTATACGTTGGTTTATATCCAAAAACGTCACTTTCAATGGAGCTTCTATTCCAATTTTCAGCATCAATAATATCAATCGCAAACGTGTCGAAAAATTTCCAATCCATTTTGAAAAAACCGCGAATCGATCGAGTCGATCTCTCATCGTGATTAATTTCTTCCGAGACGGGATAAGTCTTGGCCCGTGTGAACGTGCACGGACACCTCTCGGCGAGTAAAAGTTGGGTGGAAGGCCGCAAATCCGCTCGGGGGTTAAATTTACGCGAACTCGTTCCGCCAGGGACGACGCTCGTATCGCCGTCGTCGTCGTCGTCGTGGAATACGTGGCACAGGAGGGAGGAGGGTGAGGGTGCCGCGATTCGGTCCCGCTCACGGCGAATGAGAGCCCCTGGCCGCACGCCAGGCGGCGGTGATAGGAGGAAGCCGGTGCACGCTCGAGGAATCCGAAAGCGGACGGATGGATACGATCCTGGCGAATCCCGAATCCTCCTCAATATTGCTCGAGCACTCAATTTCCTCCCTATTAAGCCGCCGGCTTCTCCCTCCTGCCCACGTCTTTCCCTCTCCGTTTCACCACCCCCGTCCCCGTCCAGATAGATAGATAGATAGGTAGATAGGACGCGGCAACAACCCCTTTTCTCTTCCTCTCTTCGCTCGTCTTCCACAACCCTTCTCGCCCCCTCGAATCTTATCTTCCTCGCCGGATAGGTTATAGTGTTACGGCGCACGAGCACCGACTAATCAGCATTCCTGCTACCCAACCGCCTTCCAACCACCCCTTCGTCGATTTTCCCTCCTCTCTCTCTCTCTCATTCTCTCGTTCTCGTTTAAGTTCGACCATAGAAATTTCCACGGATCCGCGGCGTTGTCGGGCTACGTGCGGCAAATCCTTAGCAAAATCCTTCGGATTCTGCGCGCTTTAAATCGCCTCTCTTTACCTCGCTTTCATTCTCGTTTTTCCTCTTCTTTGTTCTTGGTTGGTGGATTCTGTTTGGATAGATAGATGGTATGGTATTTTGTCCACTTTGTTTTTTTTTTTCTTTTCCTGTTTGCGCCACTTGTTCGTTCATCGACGCTCTTTTTCGGGGGGAATCGATGGAAAAAGTTTCGAGGCGAGTGTATTATTTTTTCGTCAAGATTAATCCATGAGATTATGTTTGGAGCGATAATTGGACTTATCATCGAAGTTAAAAGAAATATTTGGAAACGTGCTGTGCATCGTTATGTACA